TTTTACTCCAGGGTTCCAGTACTTGTCCGTTTTTTCGAGAAGCAAGTATCTACTTGCATCAAGGAACTTATGATTCACAAATTCATAAGAAAATCCTCTTTTTCTAGAAAAAGAAAAACTTCTGTCACGAAATTATGCATTTGTTTCCAAGATGATGATAATGTATTGATGAAAAAGGCGGGATTCCTCAATCAAAATCTGGCTCCAAAAGATCTAAATTGTAAAAGCGTCGAAAAACCGTTTTTTCTTGTCAATTCATTACTCGTCATTTTTCGGATAAATGCAACATCCGCTGACTTAAATTTTTTTCATCATGATCTGCGGAAAAGTAACTTTTCAAAGGACTTTTCTGCACATTGCAAAGGAAAATACTGTTCGCAACTCGTGCGGAAAGTTGTTTTTGGCATCACTTTTTCGCACTTGTTACGAAATATACTATTCTCTCAGGGTATGATATCGTTTTCTCGGAAATTTTCGAGTATGGATTTCGCCATAGAAGGAAATAAGCTCTTCTCAAAAATAGTAATTTATGCTACAAAGGCTGAAACCTATTTTTCCAACATATTTAATGAGAAACCGCGCCTCCGAGGCGATAAAATACGTTTTCAACATATTTTACAGCCCTTGTAGTAAAAATGACTATTTCTCACTTTCTCACACGTCTTAAATCAATCATTAGGTACCTACCAGTAATTAACTAATAGTTGACGACTTCCGTTTGGAATAAATTAATTATTTTGATAGTGTTTAGACCTCCGGTTATTTTATCAATTCAATCAGTTTAAATACTTTCTTATTCACCGCTTGATGTTATCTACTGTAAACGATCAATCGTCGCAAGTTTGACAAATTAATTTTTCACCATATAAAATTGAAAATTAGTTCCCATCAAAGTACATCAGTAAATTCACCATAATTTTCAAGCTTTTGGCGTATTGCTACTGAATTAGTATATTACATACCTAGGCCAATAAAAAAACAAATGTCTCAGATCATATGACTCTATTGGCCGAGGCGGACTAACATCTAATCTGAGACATTTTTTTTCACTGGCCGAGTCGTTAATACAATTTTTCTGCTCGACGAGCGAGAAAATGGCAATTTGTCGGCCGCGCAGCGTGTAGCGTGAAGTTGTGACTTTCTGGCCGAAGGGCAGAAAAATTATTTGCTTAATAGGGGTAAAGAGGCACGTACAAAAGCTGGATAATGTGATTTTTTTCGCTGATCGCACGCTATTTGCCATCTAAGCTTCAGACATAACTTTTATAATCGTTCATTGTGCTCAAGTATACGGTTGTATTAATTAACAACTTTTTAATTTAGCTCTTGGTACATGGAAACCCTTTGTTCGCGAGTCGCTATAATTGAGTGTTCCCTGCTTATTCTGATGAAAGCAATTTAAAAGTTTGTGTATCTTTTTACGAAGATATACGTCTGCGTATATATTTTCGAGTTTATTGTGAGGCTTCCTGAATTCAATTCGAATATTTCTCTTAGGTTTCTACTGCTGATATTTTTCGATTATCTCGCTCAATTCATACTCGGTACTGACACTATTCTCATTCATAAATCGTTTTTTTTTTTCATTATAAACGGCAGTATATGATAAACATGGTCCATCGTATATTATCATAAAAGTTAAAAATGTTAAAAGATCAAACGCGATAAAGCAATTCACGTAAAATTATTGGCATAAGATCCAAATTTATGGACGAATGACGAGGGAGTTCGATATTGTCAAATTTTACTGGTTATTTCATAATTTCAATTATTTATATATTAATAATATTTATTAATGTTACCAATCAATAAATATTCATAGAGAAAATATTTTTGAATGAAAAACTACCATAATGTATGGGTAGGTTTGGTTATTCTAAATCGAATTTCGACATGGAGTCATAGCTTTTCCAAAAATTTGTTCGATTCTTTAACAGCGTTGTTCTTAAGTTGGTTAATCATGGAAAATTTATTAATCATGTATTTGATTGAATGAAATGGATTCAATCCAAGCAACGCAATATGGAAAAACATTTTAATATATATATATCATATGTATATATATATTATATACTATATTATATATTATACATAATATACATATATATATTATATAGTTTCGAGAAGTATGCACGTTCTTCATTCGCATATAATGATAGGACCTTCTACGCATGCTTTTGCGATGAAATATTATCATTTATTTTTATTTTTACTTGCAAATTCGGGGTCAATAATTCATGTTGTGTTGATAGCCCTTATTGTATAATCTATCTATTACCATGTGTACTTGCGCTTCAGTCATTTGATAAATGGTACTTGAGATTGCTCCGGGTACTTTTTCGGCTTAAGTTGCGCATTCGACAAGTGGTGAAGTGTGCGTGGTCTACTATTCAAACCGACCAGGAATTAAATGGGACGTCAAGCCATCAAATTTCAATCAATTTCGCAATTTTTCATCATTATATCTCTGTCTCACTCTGATTCCATAAATCAATAAAATATTTTCTTTGTTTCTTTTTCAAATACGATTTTCACTTTCCCACTATTGTTATGTTCTGATTTAGTTTCTGTAAACCGATGTCATGTTGTGCGCTTTATTCAATTTCAGTTTTAGAGTTACGAACAGAATAGTATCAAAAGACGATAACCAAGCAATATCGTCTCGCGGTGAAATACAATTTTATATTTTTCAATGTAATAGCAACAGTTAATTTATAAAAATGCGGCAGTGTAAACTGTTCTATTTGCGTTATTAACTCACCTCCTTGCGTTAACCATTGTTTACGATTATTATTGTTACTTCAACTTTGAAATTTATATGGAAATGTTGCAATAAAAACAAGGGACCTCAGTTGAAATTTTCTTGCATTTCTGCTCAATTATTTTTGTAATGCTCTATGATACCTCAATCTGTAGAAAAAGGCTAATATGTTCATCTCGATGAATTGGAAAATGATATACTTGTGTACAAAATGCGAAACTTTTCAATAATTGAAATATCTTGAGGGCCTTTACAACTTATTTCACTCCGGTACATACTAGGCACCGATGTTTAAACCAAGTAAAGAAGAGAAGAGCTTGGTTCAACTTGCTTAATAGGGAAAACCGTGTCCATTATTATGTTCATTTGCTATACTATGAAGATAATCATATACACTCACTCTACACCGATATTTTATCTACAGTACTGTCTTTTGTTCACTTGATTCCTCGGAATTAAAGCTAACTGTGCGAATTTCAATTCATTTTACAACTGCTGATTTTCGCGAATACATTTGCATTTATAGGGTTTTACAGGAAAAGTAATTTTCTTTTGTTTGTTTCTTAAAATGTATAATAATACTGGCTATCATAAGGTAATGGTATAACGCTAGTTATTTCGTATTATATCGTATCTTTGCTAAGTTTTTTGTGATTCCATACACATGGTTAATGTGATTAATCTGATAACGATTGTGAATTTTTCCACTAATTTGCGTTTGTGTTTCATCTTTACGTGTGATTATTTTTATCTATTAGTCTCCATTGTTAACACTCATATTTATATACATCTCTCTATATATGACGATATTGTAGATTTGAATGCATGGAAGAACCTTTTCATCTTGATTCTTCTTTTGAATACTCTCTTCCTATAATATAATTCGCCGTGTTATGTGGTTCAGCAAACTTTTACTCTCAATTGAGAGGTATCATTCAAAAGCCCATGTATATTTCACTATTCTACATATACATAATATGTATACATTGGTTGTATTTTCTATTTAATGAACTGAACCATTTTTTCGTGTAGTCTTATATTATGCCCTTTTTTAAGTATTTTGTCTGGTGGTTCACTATTTTTCTGATTTGCTTGAGTGTGCATGTATTTTTCATGTTCAAAAAGGTTGTTTTGGTTCATTAGATTAGCATTAGATTAGATGGTCAACGTGATTTTTCGCTTATTTTGCGTATTGCGTATTTTGTGTATTTTATGTATTCTTTGGCATAATCCTGGAGCCGAAATGCCGGTGCTGTTCAATGGACCAACAGTGTTGGCTGCTCTTTTTTCTCCTCTTTCGATAAGTGTGAATTAAAATATAAAAACAACGATGAGCCATTCAGTTATTAAACTATTTGTTAGAAGTAATGAATAGCTCATGTTCTTCATCGGCCAACACTTGGCAACCAATATCGGCCCAACATTACCAAACCAAGCTAGACAAAGATTGATTGAGCATCGGAACCTAAAACTATTGGTCCAATTGTGGCCCGTTTGACTTTTCGTACCCGGAATATGTTCCTGATCTCCAGTTCAATAATTTTGGTACAGGTCCATCTGGCAACTAGAGTATTCTCCACAGAGACACTAAGAAAAATTTTTCAGGTGCTCAAAATTTTGCAAAAATTATTCCTAATGCGGAAAATCCAAGCAACGATGGATCGTAAGGAAATATCAAATATTTATGTTAGAGAATCAATCAGTTTTTCAACTTATTCTCGATAAAAACATCCTCTTTTATAAAAAATCCAAATTATTGGAAACAAATTGAATAAATTCATCAAAATACTGATTCACCCCTCATAATATTTTGCAATAAATTTCTAACATCATTTTATATTTATCAATTATGAATCATAAGAAGGAGATTTTGACAACAGTGACAACTTCCTGAAGAGGTGAAAAACTGTCTAATCACTCTTCACTATTTTGGCAATATATATAACACTTCTTCACATACCCGTACTTATCGTCAATAGAAAAAAAAAATGAGACTGAAAAATTTCCATAAAATTTGTTGAAGATATTTCATAATTTTAAGTAGAATGGTTCCAATAGGAGACTGGCTTGTAAAGGCATTTAAAAGATGCAATTTGTCAATGAAGGAATGAATGTATATTTTTTTAAACATCAAGGACGTTTATTACATTGCCAAACATGTATATAAAAACGATCAAAAATTCATTGTAAAACGTGAGAGTAAATTATGAATTAATTTACGTTTAAAAAATTCGCAGTCTATGGAAAAACGTATAAAAATTAAAATTTTCAATGACTATTCCTTTCAATCAATGATTTGACATTTTCGTAATGAGCTCAATGAAGTAGATGCATTGTAGCGTCCATTGATATGACTTTCCACTGTTTCCATAACCATTTCTTTACCAATAATAAATTTATTATTGATCATGATAATCATTAATAATAATTATCGGTAAGTATGTTCAATATCAATTTTGTTTACACATTACTCGGATCTTTGCCTTACCTATCATTTATTCCCATTCACATTTTCCTTATCCTCCCTATTTGCTTAAAAATCATTGGGCTTATTTCTCATTGATGTACTCTCCTGATGAGAATTTGTTGCAAAACTAACAATATTACGATTTGTTTCTCTTGGAAATGAGATCATCATCACTGGCTTCGACGTCTGCCTCTACTCCTCTCTCACCCTCCTCAATTTGCCTTGTATTACCTTCCTCAGTATCTATACTGCTTGTTGGAGTTATCTGCTCCATTATTATAGGTGTTACTGTTGATGCTGCTGTTGACCTTGTTGACGCTGATGTGACTGTCACACCGTTTTCGAAACTCACACCATTTCGAGTTGCTTTATTTATGGGCTCAGGGGAAGCAGATTCCTCGCTGCTAGGTGAACCTGGAGATGATACTATCACCTGTCAAAAAATCATATAATTTCCTTGCCTTAAGATGGAATAAGGTTGTCATCTTTCGAGCTCCTTTCCTTTTTACATCGTTGAAATTTCATTTGCCATGCGTTTTTTCAACAATTTTTCAAGTGACTTAATCCTTATTGCCCCTGATAATGGTTGTGTTATCACGCTAATGCTAAGGGATAAAAATGATCAAGATCATCAATTATCATGTAGTTATAAACCTTCTACTAAACCATTGTAAATGAATCTTCAACAATGTAGACCTTCTTATAATTATACATTGATGGTGCGATAGAAATGAGTACTTAGATATGAAAAAATCTAGATATGCTAATATGACCACAATTATTATCATCCAGTTTTGTCAATGAGGGCACGATCTTCTGGCTCAACGACTCATGCTAGTCATTAATGTAACAATAATCCAAATTTTAAAGAAATAAGCTGAAGAACAGAAAACCACAAGGATGGTACCTGTGCAAGAAGCGTCGTCTCTGTGCTGTCAGCGATTTGGAAGAATCGGCAATTTGCGTTTGCTCTGAATAAAGTTCGAAAAAACCAAAACAATAGCAATTAAAAGTTAATAACGCTATATCAGTTTTTTGTTTTGTTGTCTGTAGAATAACGATTAAATAAAAGCAAGCAAATTAAACCACAAAAATAAAAACAAAAATTTTCTATCAACGTTAAATATCAATTAAGGTTACCGGGGCCGAGACCGCATTGTAAACAAAATTAATTAAAAAAAACCATGCTAGAAGATTCCAAATTAACAAATAGATGATGTGAATCAATTTTCAGCATGCGAAAATGAATGCGCAGACTAATGCAATGCGTCAAATTAATTCAATGAATAAGGATGTTAGACCAATGGAAGCAATTTGAATGTATAACGAAATAGTGGTTCTGCGGTAGCATCGTAGGCTTTTAGCTACAGAATTCCAGTAATTTCAGTAAGTCGCCAAGTATGAGAACGCCGTTATAGCTTGCATGCTCCTCAGCTGAGTTTGAGTATCGCGAGTGGAAATTTTCGTCAAGTTCAAATCCGGACTTGATCATGTCAGGCCAGATGTTTTTTCAGAAATTGATAAGACAAAGGAATCGACACCCGCTTTATTATGTAACGTGCTTTTATGAGTTCTTGTACTTTTTCGTCCTCCCGTGCTCATCTTATTAAAGTCCTTTGATAAATTAATTAAAAAAAATGTTTATTGAAAAAGGTCAATTCGCACTGTTCGAGTTTTAATTCACTGGATCAACACTTGGCCAGACTTCCATCAGAAATTGCCGTATCAGTAAATCGTGAGATAAATCGTTAAGCGCATGTACGATTTTTCGTGGAGTTTTTGGAATTTTGTTTTTTACTAATTTTGTCCATGGCGGTCCATGCTAATGTAGACTTTTCAAAGGATTTCGAACTTTTACCGAATTTCTGAAAAAACGAAGAAAGAACTATATTTTTATCACTTTTTGTTGATAGACTGCCCTAACATCCTTAGGTCAAAAATATTAATTTTGACTCGTAATGGTAGATTCGAGTCATGAATAGAGAAAATGGTTGAGTTTTTTTTTCAATTTTGCAAGCTCAAACTTTTCATTTGAATAGTTATGATTTTCCAAGTAACCACTAGAAATAAGTAGCAAATACCTGGCGTGGTTTCACCGGGGGCGGCGGACGAATGGTAGCAACGAATGGGTTGGTGTGTCCTGTTGTGGTTGATGTGGAGGGTTGATGATGAAGTGAGGGTGGCTGCTGCCAAGGCAGCCCGGTTCGAGGCAATGTTCCCTGATGAGACGCTGGTAATTGATGAGATGGCTGATGGGAGGATTGAGGAAGCTGCTGGTGCTGACGATTGGTTACTTGTCCTACTTGCGAAACTCGAGTAATTGTTGAAGCGATTGAAGAAATCTTCCGAACTGTCTGTGAAATACATAGCTGATTACTCAGTCCTTGAATTCTCATATTTTCCGTACAATCGATTTGTTATTTAGACATACGTGGCGATAAATAAGGGCAAAATCGAATTTCGATTACGATTACATCATTTGAAAGTCATTAAATGTCGTTGGAAAAGATTTTCTGCAAATTTAATTTCTAAAAGAGAAACGATGCTGCTCTAAATAAACTACTAAATTATAGAGGATTTTCCGATCACCGAATCATTCATCGTTGAATAGTTTTGAGTTCTCTGAGTCCATAATTTTTTAACTCAAAATCCAGGGGGCTAATTAGATGTCCAGGTGGACCGTTTATGTGGAGTAATTAGCAAACTTGAATCCTAATTCTGGCCTTCCAAAACGTCCAAAGGATGGAGACAATTCGAAAATTCGAAAACGTAAATTTTGGCTTAATCCACTGAGCAATAAAGCGACAAGTCCATATAATACAAAAGAAAACTTATTGATGTAATAAATTCTCTTGAAAGGTGTCTTCAATCAATAATCAATAATTGTATTTTCAAACTTCTCTAATTGGAAATTCATTTGTAATTGCTCAGTGACTTTTTTAGTCTGCATATAGGTCTGCAAGTAGGTAAATGAACAGTGACTAAGGATAGATTTTGGTCTTTATCCTCAATCTTGTCATCTACAGAAAGAGACCACTTGAAGGAACTGTCCAAAAACAGATTCCGACTACTTCCTAATCAGCCTCTGGTCAGATTCGTCAAGGAATTGACATCTTACCGAGAACTGAATTCAATTGAGATCGGAAGTGTTCTTCAGATCCCTCCACCACAATTAGGTCGTCGAATGCTAGTATTCGAATATGTCTGTGACCAAGAATTTTGTCTGCGGTAACACAATCCGATTGTTGCCCTTCTGGCGCCACTAAGCTTGTCATTTTCTACGCAACTGGTAGAACAATGTTATTCTCGGTGATTCGCTGTCGTATTCTCCAATGTTTATTGAGTTGAGCCATTGTGTTACTGTTGAGTTGATACTATTGGTTTGGCTGGTTGATTATGTGGCTTGGCTTTCATTTTTTTATTATATATATACACAGTATATAGACACTTGGCATTCTTCACTGGAGGTCACGATCAGCTCTGTTGCACAGGAATTTTCGAAACTGTAAGTCAGATCAATAACATAGTTTGGAGAAAACCTGGTTGGGGTGAAATTATATTTGGGAACATTATAACGTCGCTGTCTCTAGCTGTGACTATATTCAGAAATGAACCTAGCTGTATTTAGGCTGTATTGACGTACATTTCGAAAACTTTTGGCCAAGAAAACTGGCAATTAGTTAGTCATCCATCCCGCATCTAAGCTGATGGGCAAAAGATAGATTTCCGTAAGAGCGCCGGCAAGCCTACTCTCCACGGGCAATGTCCTTTGGCAGCTCGATCTCGCTAGTAGATCTGAATTTCTTTCGGCCTTCTTTTTCGTGTTGAAGATAATCGTTATTGAAAGTCCAGTTTGGCACATTTTTAAAGGATTCTTTGCCCAATACCAGGTAACGGTTGCACTGAACTTTTTTTCCAAAGTGATATTAGAGAAATAGATTGTCATAAAGAAGTTTGATTAGTTCAACATGCGATTCAGTTAATCCAGCGATCAAAATTCGATTCCGCTATTTTTTATTACCACGTATATAGTCATTAAAAAATGTGAAGAGTGAAACGCAATTCACTAGATAATAAGAATTTCATCGAAAACATTACCTGACTTCACTGGCCATATTTCTAGTAGATACTTGAGAACAGCTATTGGTTGCTGGAAATCAAGAGGTGGACTTGTATCTTCCGCATGCAGCATTAAAACTGGACCGAAACAAACTGCCAAGTTAGCTGGCGACATCTTATTACATTGAGAGATGACCAGGGCGAGATGATCTAATAAATAGATGAGTGTACACTGAAAAAATAAAATAAAATCGTTTGTTTCTTTCATGGAGCAAGCTTTTGCATATTTGTGATTAATAACCGCTAAGATCAATTCTGGAGTAAAAGATTCAAATATAAATGAAACAGATTATTTCATGGTGGATATGATCCAAATTTTCATTTGTGGCTCATAAAAATATCTGCAAAAAATAGTTTTCATGAGAATTTTCGGAATTTTCACCTAGAATTTGAAATGAGACAATTAACCATGAATGATGGACTATTCGACAACATGCACATTTTTATTTTTCTTTGTTATACTAACCCTATTCACTTTAGGCAAGCAATCAAGAATACTGAACATAAGTTTTGCATTCCCCTGTGGATCATCTGGCAAGCAAACTGCCAACGCATCAACCATCATTTGGTAGAGGCACTTGGTGAAAAGTGGTTCTGGCAATTCCCTCAAATAATCCTTCAAGACCCCAGTTATAACATTAATATCTGGGACATTATCAGGTGATAGGTCGACTGATCGTGCATTTCTCTCAAATGCTTCCCGTAAAATTCGTTTTTTCGTTGCTGATCCGCAAAGTCTGTATAAGCCTGCAAAACAATATTTTTATTAATGAACGTTCCGAAAATTGAAGAATGAGGGAAGTGAAATAGAAAATCCTGCTGTTAACCCTGAAGTGGTTGTCTAGCATATTACTTTGCTAACATGCGGCTATTAAATAATTGAAGCCTTGGCGAATTATTGAAAAAAATTAAAGATTAAGACCTGAATAGACTATTTATTGAACGTGACCTTTGTTCAAATTCTAACGTCTTCACGTGAAATATATGAAAAATTGGAATCAAATTTGTGTTGCGCAGACCATTCAAATGGTTATAAAAAGATCATGGAAAAAGAGAGGAGAAATTATTAAAGGGCGCTAAATGGCGATATTGATTAATAGGTATCTACCAAGTTTAGAAAAAAATAATAGAAAATACGCAGCTTACCATTGCATCTAGCTGCCACTCATACCAGTGGAGAGTAATGGTAAGCTGTGTATTTTTTATTATTTATTTATAAACCCTTTCAATCGATATCACAATTCAGCGCCATTCAATAACCTTTTCACTTTTTTCTCAGTATCTTTTCGTAACACAAATTTGATCCTAAATTATAATATATTTTATATGTAAGGACACCCAGATAGAATTAAAACAAAATATCGCGCTCGATAGATAATCGATGCGGGTCTCAAATAAATATTGGCACATTTTATTTAAAACTCTCGCGCTGTTTTCTATGATGCTACGATATCTGACAAATATGAAAGTAAATTAATGTAAATAGGCCATGAAAACTTCTCAAAATTTTGAAGTGCGCTTTTATCAGTAAAATAGAAAGCTGAGAACATATTATTTATTATGCAAAATTTTCACCGACGTGGTGTGAGGCGCTTCAACATACATATTTTCAAATGCTGAATATGACACAAACCATGGTTTATGAACCTATCATTGAATTTTGACGATAATTTTTCGAATTGTCTTATGACACTCTTACTACGGAAAAATTAACTCGACGATTAGTGATTACTTTCTAACACCCTGATTTCCACTCGATTGGAAAGAAACGTGGAACATGGAAGGAAAATTGAAAGAGAAATAAAGAGAGCGAATACGAGTCTTGTATCGTCAATGGTTGATATCTAGAAAGCAGTGGAGGTAGGATGGAAGAACATTGTTCCTAATATAAATAGATAGGAGTGGACGGAAAAAATAATCCACTGAAATATGCGATGTCGCTAACTCTATAAAAATAAATTTTTTTCGTCATTTTCAAATTATTTTCGAATTGTTCTTTCAAAGTCAGTTTAATTTCTTTATCGCGAAAATCAAAAGTACAAAATTATCAGAAACAGGTTTCACCACACAGGTGAGTGCAATCGCCATTTCGACAAAGTGGCACATGCCAGGGTGTCACCCTCGCCTGCGAAATCACGCGCTATAAAAATTCCGTAATTGACAGATTGAAACACTCCAAAAATAAGAGGTGGGAAAAATCACTCCATAATTTTTACTAATCAAAAATCGATTCGTGTGACCATCATGAATAAATTTGCCCCCCAAAGTCAAAATTACAACACGGTCTAGAAGTAACTGGAGAACGATCATTTGACTTGATTGAAATTACTTCCCAGAATCTTTTTCTTTCGATTTACCCGTACTATAATTTGCGACAGAGCCGACATAGTACGCGGTACCCTACTGAATAATAGTAGAAGCTAAATAGGTGGCTGTGTGCAAGGAAATTGCATCCTTGATTCGAAAGTAGGAGTATTTGCTGCATTTTACAAGCACTAATTCATTAGCTCCCGCGGGTGTGAACATTCTGAAAAATCATTCAAACTCTATTTCAATTATAAGCGAGTGGATGGACGTAATACAGTAAGGAATGTTCATAATAGTGTGGAAATAGTGAAAAAAAGCCGTCAATTTGGTCTATGTACGATGCTAATTTTCCTGTTTCCTTCTTCTTGCTTATTTTCCTTCGATATTGTGAGGGAAAATTTAAACGCGTTCGACTAGGACTGGAAAATAAACAGTTGAGGACAATGAGCGCCTTGTTTGCCTCTACCCGATACCTCGGGGTTTTCATGTGGACACCATTTAGGACATTGGCTATCGAGACTCTAGCCCGAGTCATAAACAATGAGGACTTGGGCCTAAGGTTCCCAAAACGAAAAATCCATCGGGCAATCCGACTCTCAATCCGAATGAGATCACATCGCTCCACATATCTTCTGACATATTTTACTAAACCTTGTGATTAGAGTTTCTTTTAATTAAAGTTTACTGTATTTTAATTGTTTAATCACGGCAGTATTCTCATGAAGAGGATAAATATATTATATCATTTTTAGAGAGTAGTTTTGATTCTGTACACTATGTTCCATACCTTAACACGAAAATAACTTAAATTAACTTTGGAGATGTTTTTTGCTCCGTGTATGTTAATGACTGAGTTCCATACATCAAATCTGTATGGCGTATATTGCGCTGACAATGATGCCGAGAAAAAGGCTACGTTTATCGGATTTTCTGGTCATCATTAAGAAGAGGAATGAAGAGCTCCTCGCATCGCCACGACGCACGACGGAAGTCTTTCTCTATATGCTTTTTCTGTTCCTTCTTCATCCTTCTGTCATGTTTTTTTGATCCTTCCTTTAGGTTTTCAACAACAATGGACTACGTTTGTGGCATGTATACATGAATTCTCTTGGAGCATATGATGAAGGTCTAATGTTTCCAGGATTCTTTTCCATTTTATGTTATCGTCATATGTGAAACTAAGCTGGACCCTGTCATTGATGATGATGCAAGCGCAATATGAGTCGTGATGGCGTCACGCTTTATATTGCGGATCGCCTGTTCTAGGGCAAATATACGGGGCACGTATTTCTCTGAAGGAAATAATCAATAAATACCCAATTTCGGATTTTGACCGCCACACGTCATAAGAAGATACGAGATATTGTTCTAAGAAACAGTATGTTTGATATTGTCCCCGGAATCGTGATAAAATACCGGGGCAGAGCATCTTCCGATAAATTCTGACTATCACGCACCATTGCTGCGGAAAATACGAGTCATTTAGGAATAATGGACACAAGATAATTCTAGGAAAAGGGGTGTGGAATAATTCTGCCTCTCCCTTTACCTCCGCCCAAATTCTGTCTTATGTTTAAAATTGGATGATCGAATATTAACGACCTCTCTGAAAATAAGAGATAATCAACTCTAGAGATAATCAACTTCCATCGAGTGAGCAAACACTACAATGGACAAGAAATACAAAGCCGTATATGTTTAGCTAACCGCCGGTAAATTTCTTACGGAAACGGATATGACAAAAGCACGTGTTGCCGTCCAAGGGATTTCTTTCCTTTTTTCTTCTTCTCTTGATAGCTCCGCATATCATGCAAATACCCTAAATCTGCCCAATAAGATACACAGTCATCGATGATTATCGTGTCAATTTTAGCCTCAGTTGTCCACTCATATTTACCAAGAGCTGTGCTAATCCCCATTTATTGTCAGGTCAGTGACGACATAGAGTTGCTCTAGTGTATTTCCGCTAAGTAACAGGGTGCAGTCAATCAAACTACCTACTGGGCCGACGAATTTCCAAATTCGAACGATATTAATCCCAATTAGCAACAAAAAACGGCAAATCTCCGTCTCATAGTTGATCAACGTACACCCAAATTAGCTGAGACATTACGTCCAGCCGATCAACATCCCTACATCGCGATTCGACCTATCTATTGGAGCAACCACCTGCGCAATTCTCTCCATAATCTTCAATGGCACCACTTGGCCAACATTTTCAATTTTCAACATTTACATTTTTTTTTTCTTTACATAGCATTTTCTTCCGTTTTCAAATTCTTGGGGAAATCTGTAACCCTTAATTTTCGGGTCGCGTTTCGTTTCTGTTATTCTGTTAATTTTGCTTCCAGGGCCGTAACATTTGCATTGATGAGAACTTTCGGATTCTTGCATCTCTTTTGACTTTCTGGACAAAAAAAATCGGATGTCATAAACATCTATTCGGTGAGATGCTTCCCTGAAGTTCTTCCAAACTTGGTGACGGTGTTCGACTGATGCTTCCTTCCTTGAACATAGTAACTTAATATCTTTGTTGATGAGCCATATGCATGCCCATAGTTCTAAAATCCGCCTCAATGACTTCAATACCGATGTCCTACTTGAATTTAATGCTGATGCAGTTTAATTTCTGTTTGTTCAGAGTACTCTTTTGTGCTCTTTTTCGATGCATACAATCGGCCATGTTGCAGGTTATTATTCCCTGTCTATAACTCGGGAGAGATTTCTTGTACACGAACGTTGCGACTGTGAATATCCAGGTACTTAATTCACCGCTTTTCAGGTTCGAGTACTCTCTTTTTGATTGCTTGTCATCATCTCAGAATGCTTGGGCACCGTGTCTGTAAAGGAATCCGGATAGCGCTATTGAGGTTACTGCTCCGATTGGGAATATGAAATAGTATATTGTGCACCAAGGAAGGAAAATAGCGGAATACGTGCGTAAGCACGCGGGTTAGAATGTCCTGTCTTTCCGTCATACCTATGCTAAAAGCCTAATTTTTCTTCGTAAATCATGGGAGAAATGTGGGCTATCTCACTCTATGGAACCTCAAAAACAACAGTAATCCGAGGGATGGAGTAGTCCACTTTCTATGTGTCATTTAGGGAGTAAAATCTAACAGTCCGTCCAGGTTTGGCGGAAAAGAATTTTATCTACAAGCCATGGTTCCGTGGTGATATCGATTCTCTTGTAACCGCGATGGATCATTTTTACAAGAAATATATAGGCATGCCTTATCTGAAATCACTTGGATGAATATATTGCTCCCCTCGTGACTGCGTTAATCGAATGATAGAGGAGCATATCAATTGCAGTTTTGGTTTGGTGCCCAGCATATTTCAATATGTACATTCTGTGATGAGTCGAGTCGTCACGGATCGATGTCTTCTACGGAATGACAAGGCATTCAAACTAAGTAAATGATTACTAATGTCTTGTATATGTTCGTCTCTCTGGTGATCTCTCATCTTAGATTCAGCATCTCATCAACATAAAGGTTATATATCTTGCACATGTGGAGAGAAGACGACATTACTCATTATTTTGTACGCTGTGGTTGGATAATGAGGAAGACTGGCAGGAAGGATTTCTTAGACTGTTTTCATTTCAGCATTTTCAATTCTCACAAACACATATATCGAATTGATTATTGTGCGATTAACCAAGCCGTGCAGATGGTGACGCTGTTGGGGAATCCGCTTCTTATTAACTCTTCCAAAATGGGAGCCACGCAACGGACAGCTTATATTTTGCTGCATATTGATGGAACAATCTACTAGTCCGGTCAAAAGGTGTCCCTCCGTTAAGGCTATAAAAGTTCTCGTTCGTAACCAGCTGGTATAGACTTCTCAATTATAGTTGGCTTCCGGATGGATGCGGCGTTTACTTTCAGAGTTTTGCTGACGTCGCGCAAACATTGCAGTCTGCATCTTCAGAGGTAGGAGCTCTGATTCTGAACTCCGGTATTTGAATGTAGTCCTTTATGTTGTCTGTTGCAGTGGTGGTGGTAAAGGTGGGAGAAGTGGGGCGGAGGGGAGGAGGGTGGTGTCAACCAATTGATCAATTAAAAAAATAATTCGTAGATTTGTTTGGGCATGAGCAGGCCGCTGATGGAATGAGTTTTCCTCGCTAAACTTTGGTTGAGATTATGGTCGTTGGATCTCTTTGGCATATTGTGGAAATTTTTGGCCGTGTAAGGGTGAGTATGTCCTCCACAGAAATTTTGAAAGTAGTGGGTGCCTTTTCTTTTGGCTTAGAGTTTTAGGATTGTGGTGAAGATCTGCTTCAATTTTTTGTGGGATGTGCAATACAGAGAAATTGGATGATTGCTTCGTGGAAACTAATTTTGTTCCATTGGAAGAGAGTTTCATATATGATGTGGGATGAGGAGTTCAGCGGTTCAGGTGACATCTGCAGTAGAGTGGACACTTTGGGACTCTGTGAGTATGAGTGCTGGAGACATTGATGTTTTTGATAGTTAGAAGGGCATGAGGTATCGCTAATGTCTAGATGGTAAAAATTGGTGAGAATGAGGACTGAGAGGTCGCAGTAATTTTCTGCCGCGATTTTTGAACCATTTGTGTAAATTTATGTACATTCTTCAAAGTTAGTTTTTTTTGGCTCAGTTTTGTTGTTATGAGTTTCGATTTTTTGACCTCTTACTAGTCGAATAGCCCTATATTCAAGTCTATTTAGATATTCAAAGTCAGAGAGATTGGATAGGAATAGAGCATGGGATCCATATTCGAGTGGGCTCCGGATTAGTCCGCAGAAGAATGACAGCAGAACTCTGGAATCAGCACCTAAACGCGTGTGTCTGAGAGATTCCATCATGGATAGGGCATGGGGGTTAGGAAGTTCCTTTTGAGTAGCTGTTTAATGTAAAGAGCGAAAGAGAAGCGGTAGCCTGGAGTAAGTCCTAGGAATTTGGTGGATTCAGAGGCTAAAATGATTTGACCATTGATGATGGTCTGAGAAGTGTTTTCGGCTAAAGATGACTAGCTTAGTTTTCTCGTTCGAGATTTCTAGTTGACGATTTATGAAATAACTTTTCGCTAAATTTGGGGTTTGGTTAAGGGTTGTTTTTTTTTGCTTATTGATAACGTTGGTTTTTAAAATAAATAACGCCATGGCAGAAAGCATGTCCTACTTTTTACTTGGCACATTGTTCCACTTTTGCTGTTCTTTAGCATCATTCTCACGTCGGTTGATTTTAGCGGAGGAAAAAGGCCTAGACGACCTGGGTTGTAAAGGCTTATCATCCGATACAATGGACTCTCGATTGCGCACTAATAAAGGTCGGGAGCACGAGTTGCTCTCAAAGCAGAGGTTGCCCAGATCTCGGGTCAAAGGATGTTGGGACAACATTGTTGAAGGCCTCTTTTATATCGATGATCTTTTGCGAATCCGGTTAGGGCTTCAGTGGTGAGAAAGGTAATATTGTCAGCACCAAATTTGATGCATCGGAAACCAATCTCTGTTTGGGGAAGGAGGCTTTCCGATTTAAGCCACCCTGGAATTCCGTCTCAGGTCATTTTCTCGCGTAGTTTGAGAAGGCGCGGCGGGGAATGATAGAAATTTTCTCTATAAGTCAGGGAATGTTCCATTGTTTAAGAGTTCGTTAAAGATATTGAGCATGAAGGATTTATAGGAATAATGTAATCTATATATTAGGTTACAGTCTATTTTGTCAGGTTCTAGTAGGGAGGATTTTTATTAGAGGTTAGGGCTGTGTTCAGAGCCTCCCTCAGAGAGGAGTTTTTATTGAGGAAGTAATTTTCTTTTAATTTATAACGGCTTATGTTGCGACAGATGTTGTCGATGAAATTCATTTGGGATCTTGTGGTGCGGTAGGTGGGAATAGGCGTCTTCTTTTCCAGAACTTGTTCTCCTTGTTTGTTCAGGAAATTTTGTGCGTTTCGTTGCAGGATGTGGAGAGAAGACAACGTGGGATTGTTTGTCATAGGTGTTTAATGAATTGGAGATGTCTGCACGGAAAACCAGATCCGTATCCTGCAGGAAGACTTGGAAAGGGATAAGTGGTTGGGAGTTGGGTAGCTGTGTTGATTGATCCAAGAAGATTAGCTAGTTGACATCTTTGAGAAGAATTCTGTGTTTTTCCTTGACAATGCTTTCGTTATTTTATACATTCCCCAAAAACGGTGTTTTCCCAGGAACAAACCTAAGTATCCGTTTTACGATCGTCTAATTGGAGAATTGAAAAATGGAAAAAATGAACAAATTTTAAGAGTCTTCAAAATTGAAACTCTTCGGGGACTGTAGCGACAGTCGTAGATGTTTGTTATGAGTTGTAGATAAAACACGCAGGCGACAGCAGTTATGTGACTACATGAGTTAGCAAAATGTATCAATAAATTGATGTCGAGCTTCCGAATGGTTCTTAAAATATGTTTTTCCCTATGAGGTCAGATCCATTGAGAATGTTAAATATTGCAGCTATGTTGAGCATGTATTGGACTAAAATTATCAAATAAAAAAAAAGAATTGGATCCTGATAATCTGAGCTACTCCACATAATAATTTTATACGAAAAATTGAATGTCTCTGAAACTAATCCTTCAACTATGCGCATTTTTGATATCAGCAATTGTAGTCGTGAATGGGAAATCTCGTTCAAATTTGAAGTTAATGGTTCGATTTTTGCGTGGGTGAGAGGACCTGACAGCATTTTTTTTAAAAAACAAAGCATTATACAATAATTATGATTTCTTTCAGAGTTCACTTCATAATTTTTGGTTGATTCTTATAGAGTCGTCCATAACAAAAAGAATAAAATAAAATACCTTGCTTACTTTTGGAGATATGTAGAAAAAACGATTTATAAACAAATCACGATTTGTTTATAAATCCCCCCCCCCCTCTATTCAGGAGGGACCATGCACAGACATTTTGAAATTTTGTTTTCTTGCATTTTTTACCATTCTACACAGTTTCTAAGCAAAATTAGATTTTTTTTTTGGTCGGGGTTGGACGATTGCAACGCTTCTATTCGAAAGTAAAAAGTGAGACAACATTGAACCCCAAAATATAAGGATGATTGCAAAGGGTTGAAATAGTTATTAATTTACAAAAACTGACAGGTGCCACAATTTTTAACCGATTGAACAGAAAGTTTGGTGACACACGCAGCTGAAATATGTACAAACTAGTAATCATGTGCGCTGTCGTGCGCTTTTCCTCTAAGTGAGCGCTGTAGCGCACAATAACTTTCTCGTAGTCATGGAAATGATCAATCGAGCGATCGACCAATAGGAAGACGAATAAAAGATTGGCAATGAAAACGATCATTCATTGTCAATCTCTTTTATGATAATGGAAAACAAAGGATTCTTCATGAATTACAAGTCTTGAGTAGAATCTTACGACAGTTGATTCAAATGTTTATAGCGATAGTAATTTCAATAAATTGCAAGAAATATACCGATTATATCCAAGCCTCTTCTTTCTACTTCCTCCACACATCGCCACACAATTATGGGAACGTTTTGAGCTCCGGTCATCGCCAGTGCTGTAGAAACACCCCCAGGAACTCCACCAGTTTTGTTTTCTCGACTTACCTGAATAAATAAAGAAAAAACATTGGAATAAGTTAATTTTCCAAAAAACCTTAAACAGTCGATAGTAGATTAAATGATAGTATGTCTTGAATAGATATGCCATTTAGTACATGATAAAATTGGAGCCACTTATTTGTTTCATTCATTATCACATTCATTTACCTATCACCGGTGAAAGTGTGTATACAGAGTTTACTAGGAAATTCTCATTGTTTCTTTAGTAAGGAATTAATTACTTTTTTTCTCGGTGCCGCTCCGCTCTAATCAAAATTGTGACCCACACAAATTAAATAGTTTTTGTTGTGATTAGCTCAGTGAGTTTTTTATAATAAAACATTGACGTTTCGTGACTCTTTAAAGACCGCGTAGAGTACATTTTTTGGACCAGCTTGTCGCTTCCCAAAATTCGTTCTCATCTCATAAATCATCTTTCAAATTCTACTGGACCTTTTTTTGTTAAGAAATTCAAATATTTTCTGATTGGTATTTACGTTTATTTTATTTTAATAAAAATATTACGTAAGCAAGTCCGAGCACATTAACGTTTCCCGACAATACTATAAATGTATTTATTTACGACTATGAAAGATCTCAGATGTTTGTGAAAACCAGATTCGAAAGGATTCGCAAAGTTATGGATGGGAACTGTAGATTAGTTTTGTTTACTCGAGGTTGTAATTATAACTGCTTTCAAAATGTTTCGTAAGTATCTAGTATAGGTTCACTACAAATAATTATCAGTCAAATATTAATTTTCTTGATTAAGCCAAAGCTGGACATTTGTAATTTATGACAGTCTTCATTGATAGGATTTCTCCAGTCCTGAGCATCTGGATTATTGGGAGTTTGCTGCAGTATTTTTGGCCTGTTATCATTGTCTTCGCCCAGGGGTGAAGATTCGTCGGATGCAGTGACAGCTTCTGGCGAGGAAGGATTGGTCTATATTGCGTGTTGTGTTTATGTTTTCACAATCAGTCGTCCGATTCGAAGTCATGCTCTACCAGTTGTCTGAATGTCAATGTTCATAGGTACTGTTCAGCTATAGATATGTTGCGGACACCGCAAGATGCAAGATTTTCCGATTTGTAAAAACTAAAACCAAAAAAGTCCAGCGAACTGACATGAGGGAAATCCCCGTTCGCAATAATAACACAAGCACGAGGTTGTGAGTGCATGACAGCGAGGACGTGACAATGAGCATGTTCTTGAGTGATTTTTTTCAATCTCTCATTGCCAGCAATGAATTGGTGGTACGCTTCTGGACGGCCAGAGAAAGTGCCTATATTCTATGTATAGAGAGGTGAAAAATTGAAATCAGGTGAATATTTTTCGGAGTATTTGCAACGAACGATTTAGAAAGAAATGGCAATTTATAAGTGACGGCTGGACCAATCGAGCTGAATTTTTGGCAGGGAGTTAGTCCTTAATAATACCTACAATTTGACGAAATTTTACTATTCTCAGACTAACTTTAGCCGTTTATTCCTTTAATTCTATAAAAGAGTGGGCCAAGTTCACCATTTATATATACACACACAGTGCTCAAATTTTTTTACGTTTCTGACCATTCTACCTCACTTCCAAGCAATCTGTGTAAATTCGAAAATCTGACGATTAGAAAGCTTCCGTTCGGAAGCGAGAATTGTAAGTCACTCTGAGAAGAAGGTGATCTTCATGGAAAGTGAAACTGGGTCCCATTTGGTCATCAATACCCAAATCGACGCGGAAAAAAAGTGGGTGAAAGAGACAGAGAGAGGGGGGACAGCCATCCTCCGCCTACAAGTAAAAGAGAGAAGGCAACCTAAAATGAGGAGAACTAGCCACCGAGTGACGAAAAGTAGCCAGGGAAAAACGAGCGATGCCGTAACTGAATTGGGAGCGTCTCCCACCGTCCCACTTCTCATGTGTAGAACCAATAAGTTTACGGGTTTTTTTGGAGTTTCAACCCGATATGAGATTGAGTTAATAAAAAGGAGTAAAACGAAGGACTAATGAACGAAATCATTTACCTTTTCAAGCTGCTCCTGACAGTCTCTGTTTTAAAAAGTTCTCCTATACCTGGGAACGAAGGGTGAGGATATTCCCACCAGAAGCATTCCTTCTGAACACATTGCTAAGCACATGAGATACCTTCCGCCACATTTTAGAAGTGCTGGACAACGAAAATTCAAATCGCTAACAGTCATAGGGAACTCACGCCAAAAAAGTATCTGAAGGGCGGTTTTTCAAATTCAGTCAGTTTAAATTAAATCTCCGGGTCCTAATTATCAAAAGTGGTATCCTGCTCGTTGTTCAGGTCCAAAATCTGTCTACAAGGAAGCAGCTGTGAGATCACCCTCTGTTGCTGCGACTGGCTCTAGTCTGAGTGTACCGCTGGACTCTCCTGGTTAGCGCAGCTCCTCCACACCATTTCAACGGAGCCAATCAGCCTGAATGAATTCAATGTAACATCCTGTTCGTTCAACTGATTCGCCGGGATCCATCTACGAGGATACTGCTTTGCGAGACCACACTCTATTCTGACGACTGACCTGTACTCGGAGTGGAAATCTCGACTCTTCTCGCCACGTCAGAGCGTCTGCGATCATTCCGCGGAATTCTGCCCATCATCGGCGCCCTTTCTCGTCGAGCGGTATCCTGCCTGTCGTCTAGTTAATTCTTCAAGAGAGGTGAATTCTGCAGAATGAGCTCTTGTTGCCGTGATGATAGGTTTCTACCCTGAGTGGTGTAAGGAGATTTTTCGCGTGAATAATAAATTCTAACAGAATTAAGACTATCTGGCGTACTATCTTGATTCGCTAATTCCCCACGCGTGGGAAGTTGAGGTTATAGTACTGAAGCCAATGAGACTTCCCTGTCGGAACACTGGCTGCTCTACTCCAGAAAGCTGTTCCACGTTAGACGGGACGGACATTCAAATGGCCAGGGGTCCAGAGAAGGGGTTAACTGGATTTGAATCGGAAAATTTGAATTCGACGCACTCCAGGAGGCGTTACCGACAGGGGTATCCTCGCTGTGGAGATAAGCACCGTGGATAATCCCCCACGTACTAATCGCGTGAATCGGGAGTGGGAAGCCGACCATACTAGGTGAGCGCTCTCCTGCCCGCACGTCAGAGTTGCATCGGCGCTTTCACGGGTCAGTCGGGCCCAGGCTCTGACAGCCCGTAGCTATCTTGGATGAGCGAGATTACCTAACCCGCCCTACTAGGTTACCTAGTTGCTATCTGTTTTCAGCTTATGGCTGAGCTATCGGTACCCAACCACAAGTACGTCTTTATTCTCAGCTCTCGCCATGTTAGTGTATAATAATGGACAGCTATCGGCGTTCTACCGCTATCTAATTATCGATCGCTCTTGATCGTACTGACCCGACCAGTTATCGATCACTCTACCCTACCAACCCTTCGATGCTAACGGGGACCACCCGTCTCAAAGAATCCCGACCCTCTCTCCATAACCTAGGCTACTGAGCGGCCGAGTGCTGTCGCACGCGTTCCATTTCATCCATCCGCCACCTCGGCATTTCGCGGGAAATCTCCACATGTCCTCACTGCGGCCGGGGCAGGGGACAGTAACGACCTCTAACTAACTTTAACTAACTTCTAACCCTTCATTATCAAACTCTATTAGAATATAGCGGAACTTATTGGAATTTATTGGAACTTACTGGAACTAATTGTCTCTCCTGTCGAGCGAATGGCCTAACCCCGCCGAGCTGTCCTCTCGTCCGTCCATGCTTTCGGAACTATTTGTAGAGGTGCTAACCTCTACCGGATTTTTTGGTTTTTCCTAATTGTATCCTTAACAAGTAGGCGGATCTCTGCTTTGCTGTTTTACCCACTTAAAAATAGCCAGCGCCCTTCCGATAATTACGCGGATGCTATGGAACCGGCGCAGGTAATTCCCCGGACTTTCGGAACACTCAGGGCAAAACATGTTAGAGTGGATAGTTCAGGTTTTTAAGTGAGATATATAAGATCATTTCTTTTCTGGTTCACCCTTATTTCACCCTATTCTCACAATGATCTTCAAGATGATTCCGACTATATTCGTCTTGAGCCCGATGATACGATCCACTGTTCTCCGACCTTATACATGTTATTCCCGACACTAAGCGATCGTTTTCTAGCAGAGGTTTGATTGCATCGAAAGCGTGATTCAAAGTGTTGCAATCTTTCACTATGAATTTGGTGCGGCAGTCCAGACGAATTTCTCGTTCAACCTTTCGAAGTGCAGATTTCCGATAATCTTCATGGTTGTTTCATTCATGGGAGAAGCCAGTCTTGAGGCCTCAGAGTTTTTCAAAACTCGCTATATAATTGACTATCACGCATACCAATGTTCGTATTTTGTGTTACCCATCGATTGAATATGTGGCTCCCAAAGCAGCAAGGTTTGTTGGTCAAAATCGCAAACGAGCATATGAATATTTAAAGTAAATATGAATAATTCATTTATAATTGCAAATTTTAACTTCAAAGAATATTTTAAATTGAAGTTATTGAACATCAATAAACTAACAAGTTCTTTGAAATTCACACCGAGAAGAAAAAAGCATTGACTGAATAATTACGTTCTTGATGGTCATGAAAGTAGACACACATTTCACTATGGCTTTCGTATTTTTTTGTTATTGTACTGTGATTCACACTTATTAGATACTTCATTAATGTACGAGTAGGATTGATACAAGTGTATAATTAGTTGCGAGTAGCATTGTCGGAAAACAAATGAATGCTTACAGGCATGAATTGGCAATTTAGTGACAAGATTGATTTGAGAAACGGATTGGTTGCTAACCATAACAACCTCGGTGCAAATTTCAATCAAGAACGTAACCGCTCAGACAAAGCCTTTTCTCGGTGCAAATGTGTGATGATTATCATGACCATATGATTACTATTTCGTAAACTCTACATATTGCAGAAATAATTAGTACAAAACTCACCACTGTGTCAAGATCAACCCCGAAAAGTGGTGCAACTCTTGTAGCTAATGAAATGACAGGTAATCCGCGGCGTTTGAACGTTTGGTGTGTGTCGGTGTATCGCAGCCTGAGATAAATAGTTCCACGTGGTTCTACTTTAAGCGCCAGTTGATGGGCTGGGGATTCTTTGAGAAGCGTTGCAAGATGTACAGAACCTTTGTAACACAGTTTGTGCCTGTGCTGTGGATCCCAGGAGTAAACGAGTAAATCGAGTTGTCGATTGCCGACCAGATCAAGTTCAAATGTCTCGTCCCAATCAAACATGAGGTCACCAGTGCGTACTACTGTTCGGGCTTTGTGGACTCGATCACATTCAAGCACGCAGTATAAGTCTCTTAAACCACAACTACCTGCAGGAACACAAATAGATTAGAGTGGGACATTGAAAGTTTGGAATTTTACATGAAAAATATTACATGTTCTTACACAAGTTGGCTCATTCATTAATTTTGTTCAATACGTCATTCATTTTTTAATAAATTTGAATAAAAGAATAAGTATGGAGAATAGGGGCCTCACTTTTTTCTTACCACTGCAATCACATAAATAAAACTATCAGTAAACACTATATATAAAAATAACCTTCAGATGTAGAAAAACTTAATGATATACTGAATTGATCACAGGATCGGGCACTAGGAGTCAAAATCGTGTAACTACCGAGAGTAGAATGGGGGATCAAATCCTTTGAATCCCTAAAAGCACCACGACCGAATGGTATCTACCCGGTGATACTACAAAGGGGAATGGCTATCATCCTAGGGCCCCTTACAAAAATTCTGAGTGCCAGCGTAGCACTGAGAACTGTACCACGAGTTTGAGGGGAATCAAAAATAGTGTTCCTACCCAAGCCCGACCGAAACCGCTATATCAAGCCAAGAGACTTTCGGCCCATCAGCCTAACCTGCTTTGTTTTAAGAACAATGGAGAGGCTCATGGATAGATAAATAAAATGCATACTGCTAATCGCCACGCCGCTGTCTTTTGCTCAGTATGCCTAGAGGGGGGGGAGGTCCACTGAGACCAGCCTGCATCACCTGGTGGCAAAGGTTGAGGAGCCAAAGGGCTACGCAATAGACGTTTTCCTCGATATTGAGGGAGCCTTTGACCGCACCGGAAACGAGGTCATAAAAATCACCACGTCAAGAAGCGGCTTTCCAGAAACCATCATTGACTGGGTACAAAGCATGTTGGTGAGCAGGTCATTAATTGCCGATCACAATGGCATGTAGATAGGAGGTCGCCCGAAGGGCAGAGTTCTATCTCCACTGCTATGGTGCCTCGTCGTGAACGAGCTCCTAGAGGAACTGAGAGGACAGGTCTTCCTGGTGTATGGAAATGCGGATGACGTGACCATTGTCGCTAGGGGCAAGTTCCTCAATGTGCTGACAGATAGACTGAACTACTCTCTGAGAATAATGGTGAATTGGTGTAGAAGGACGAAACTCTCAGTTAACCCTGAGAAGACGTCGGCTATGATATTCATTAGGAAATACAAAGTTATAAACCAGGAGTCGCTGAGGTTAGCGGATGCAGAGATCGCCTATGCTACCTCAGCGAGGTACCTGGGTGTTCAACTGGACGCGAAGCTCCAGGGAGGGAGCACATAGAGACACAGATGGGCAAAACGTATGCCTCACTGTGGGCCTTCAGAAGAGCCATTGGGAGAGACTAGAGCTTTAGACCAAAGATCAGTCTGTGGCTGTAGAAGATGGTTTTGCTGCCGCGGCTGATGTACGCTGCTGTAGTCTGGCGGCCTAGGGCGAAGAGGGTGGAGATAAGGAACCGGCTCAAATGTCTACAGGAAAATTTTCTAAGGGCAGCGACCAGGCCATGATGACGACACCCACGGATGCCCTCGAAATTTCCCTGGCCCTGCCTTCACTTGATCATCTCGTGGTGAGTAGGATAGAATCAACAGCTTATAAACTCCTGCGGAAGGGGGAATGGATGCAAGCGGAAGCGGCACACACCAAGCTTGACATCCTCAAGAAAAACCCCTGGAACATGAGTCAAGATAGAATGACCAGGAAGTACCAAATCAGGAAGGCCTTTAAAACCTACATCCCTGAGAGGGAGAACTGGGAAACTGTAAAGGAAATAGGCACCAATGTCATGCACTGGTATACAGATGGCTCGGGATACAGAGGCTGCTTTGGAGCAGGACTGTACGGGCCACAGGAAAACTACAGGTGCAACTGGTCCTTAGGGACTGTGGCCACCGTATTCCAAGTGGAAGTTCGGGTAGTCAAAAAGTGCTCAGAACTTCTGGTGTTCCGGATGACAATCAACAAACACATTTTTGTGTGGACAGATAGTCAAGCCACTATGAAAGCTCTCCTCAAATCCAGTGCTGACGCTAATTTGGTCTGGGAAACCATGGAGAGCCTGGAAAAACTGGAGACCCTTGTCTGGGTCATAAGGACATCCACGGCAACGAAACAACTGGTGGACTGGCGAAGCAGGGGGCAATAAATGCGAACGAATCTTCGCCAGTGGGACTCCCCCATGCCGTGGGTGTAAGCCACATAAAGGAAAAGCCCCGACGTGAACAATGGGAGCGGTGGAAAAACACAAAGACCTGCAGGAAGACCAGGGGAATCATGCCTGGTCCCAGCAAGAAAAGGTCGAAAAACCTACCGGAAATGACAGACTTACAGAACATTGCAGAGTCATCGGCATGGACTCGGATTGGTGGTGCAGATTCTGTAATCGAGCAAAAGAGGACAGTCTACACATCTTATGTGACTGTCCGGCTCCAGCAGCGACGAGACTGCGCTGGGGGGAGCTGCCTTCTCCACTGCAGATCAAGTCGCGAACAAGGATGCAATGGATCTGTTACGGCTGGACATATAATCCGCGCATATAACAAGCGGATCTACAATAACTCTAATCTGAGAGAACGGTGGCATTGGGGAGGCTAGTCCGACCATCCGCGTACTTAAAATCTAATCTAAATCTAGTGGGTTGATAGTTGGTTCGTAACTTTCCGTTATTGATTTCAAGACGGGGCTGGAAAATGCGACGGAAATGGGAGTAACCCATACTAATCGAGAGGTACATTTCATAGTTCAGTCACAATGAGGTAGCTTACTTGTTGCGCTTGTTGTTAATGGATTCTGGAACTGAAAACTAATAAAATCGCAGATAGACGCCCGCAGTTTTATAAGTACACCGGCCCCCTAACACAAAACATCTGCACATTCAGTAAAATATTATCAATTGTCTTAAATGTACCAACATGTGTTGCTGATTCATTATAATAAAGCCGGTTTACGGAGGATGACGGATAGTTATTTTCAGGCCTAGCCGTGGAAAAGAGATCATGTCGTCGGTTGAATTTGAATGATTAAACGTAGCATGCAAGAAGCGCGCTAAAGGCTGTGCAGTAGAACGCAGGCAAAGAGTGGTGACGTGAGGGACTTTTGTCTGGCGTCACTGGCTTCCAATACCCGATACAATGGACTCTCGTCTGTCCTTTGTTATGTACTAATAAAGGCCAGCTGCACGACTTGTTCTCAGAGCAGAAGTTGCCCAGCCGTGGTTTAAACGATCACCGCGTCCCATCCTTGAGACAAACTGTAGAGAAATGCAAAAAATTCTACGATTCAGCACAAAACAACCTCTTCCTTCTTCTTATAATATCGATAGGATTCGCGCGGCAGTCGCTTCAAAGGTTTCTGCAGTGCCCTAAACGATTCACGAACCTCCTATAAACCGCGCAAAACCCACCAGCAGAGTCATCTGTGATAGTATCCTAGTGGAAAGCGGACGTGACCTTGCACACGAAGATCCAACCCATCTGGGTCTTATGACTACGTCTTGTTCGGCATTGGTTCAGCGCAGGCCAGTGTTGCAGACGTGCGGTAAACATGCTACTGGAAGCTCCTCCATCAGTTGGTGCATCAGCATCAGCTGAGCACGAATCTCACGATGACACGAACACTCAACACAATTGAGAATTACGGTTCTTACTGGCACTCGGCGTGCAATAATCCAGTAAGACTTCTGGAGATGCGCCAACGTGAGCTGAGTTTTAACCTGCAGCATACGCTAATAAGAATTTCCAATGAAAAGTTCTTCTAATACGGACTCTTTAGGGATCATCGCTTGTTGTTTGCTCTCGACGTTCAGAGCAGAGACCTTGAGCCGCTCTGCAACTCTGAGAACACTCTGATGGTTAATGAAAGCCGTGTGTTTGGTCACTGAGATGCCTCGAAAAACAAAATCAGTAGGATTCTTCATCTCGCTGATGTACCTTCCACCAGCTCCTAAATACCCCTGTTGTTCCCAACTGTGCACCTATTTCTTCTACCTGAAAAAATGAGAACTTATCCACACTGAGGTAACAGCTGAGTGTTTCCAGGAATATAGGAGCAGTGCCAAGGTGGATCTAATCACGAACATATCTTGAGGATTTTGGCAGACTAACTGCGGAATTGAGGTCGAGACGTGGACTTTACATTTGTTCAGCAGAGGAGATTATCCTAGAGGGTGGACCAATTCAGGTATCTTAAACAACAGATTCCATTTCGTCATCTTCATGTTAGCGGGCACTTTACACCAAGAATTTTGGTCAAGAAATGAAGGAATTTCAACTACGAAAAGCCACTCAACTGGAGGAAATAGGACCTCTATGAGTAAACAGTCCATCGGAAACTCGTTCAACTGTGCACAAGGGGGTCATCTTACAAAAGATTGTCGCGGATCCCGCGGTTTTTTCTTCTTGATGATTCTCGTAATCTTGTAATTATGCAACGGTTTTGGGGAACAGCTGCCAACAGGCGGAGTATGACTCATGCTCCTCGTGCGCAAGAGTGTACTCCCCCCTGGCCCCCAGGCTAAGATCTGGAAACGGCACGAGGCCACTCGACTCCCCGATAATCCGG